CTCGTGGTTTCCCCCAGGGTGTCGGTTTCTGCTCCCACCACAGCTCTGAGCAGGCTGGGCAGCCCTGCGTTCCCATTCCCAGCATGTGGCACCTGCAGGGAATGGCTCCTGACTGCCACTCGAATCTGAATTCCTGCCAGCTCGCTCTGGGTTTCCATGGAAGCTGAGGCTGCTCCCGCAGCTGGGTGTGGAGCACACGGGATCCCCGAGAGCCTCAGCAGCCGGGCAGCTGGGAAAGCACAGCATGGAGCATTGATCCAGGTGTGCCTCCCGCCGTGGGGTCCCTGTGATCATCACCAGAGGGTGGGAGACTCCAAAGGCTCCGTCACACAGGCAGGGCCCCTGGGGCTCATCCTGGCCAGAGCTGTGAACAGCCGGGAGCAAAGTGAGTCAAACAGCGCCAGAAAGCTCCTGGACACCGGTCCCGACTGTTTCCACACAGGGAGTGTCCCTGAGCCAGTCCCAGCTGGGCACAGGGACCTGCACAGGTGAGCCACAGCCCCGACCCCACCTGACTGAAGGCCAAGAGAGCTCAGTGGGTCCCCTGAGGCTGGGAGAGCTGGGGGTGCTCAGCTGGAGAGGAGAAGCTGCAGGGAGAGCTCAGAGCCCCTTGCAGGGCCTGAAGGGGCTCCAGGAGAGCTGCAGAGGGACTGGGGCCAAGGGCTGCAGGGCCAGGAGCCAGGGAATGGCTGCCAGGGGCAGAGGGCAGGGCTGGATCTTGGGATCTGGGGCAGGAATTGTTCCCTGGCAGGGTGGGCAGGGGCTGGGATGGAATTGCCAGAGCAGCTGGGGCTGCCCCTGGATCCCTGGCAGTGCCCAAGGCCAGGCTGGACACTGGGAGCTCCTGGGACAGTGGGAGGTGTCCCTGCCATGGCAGGGGTGTGGGATGGGATGAGATTTAGGGTCTGTCCATGCCAAACCCTGCTGTGATTCCATGATTCTGGCTCGGGTCAGAGCAGGTCAGTCCCACGCTCAGGGCTGTTCCCAGGGCAGTGTCAGAGCTGTCCTCGGGCAGGTCCTGCTTGTGAAGCCCAGCCTGAAGCCCCTGTGCCGGTGCCCGTCGGGCGCTGAAGGCGCTGCCCATGCCCCGGGAGCGGGGACACGGTGGCAGTCCGAGGTGGTGACAGGGGTGGCAGGGGAGTGGCACAGGGAGACAGGGGATGGCAGCGTGGGGCGGTGGCAGGGAGGTGACGGGGAGGTGATGGGGAGGTGAGGGAGAGGTGACAGGGAGGTGACGGGGAGGTGACAGGGAGGTGGTGGCACTGCAGCGAGGTGGCAGTGCTGCCTGCTGGCCGGGAGGGGCCCCCTGAGAGCCACACTTGGTGCCATCCCCGCTGTCACCGCCGCGCTCCCAGGACAGCCGGGCCCGGCTGCTGCTCGCCCTCGGCACAGGGAAGAGGTTGGGAGAGGCAGCGATTTATCGTGTTCCTTCACAGAGAGCCTGGCAGCGCGAGCGTCTTCATCATCATCTTCATCATCATTGTCATCATCATTATCATTGTCATCACCATCATCATCATCGTCATTGTCATCATTGTCATCGTCATCATCATCATCATCATTGTCATCATCATCGTGATCATTATCATCATTGTCATCATTATCACCATCATCATCACCATCATCATCGTCATCGTCATCATCATCATCATCACCATCAGCAGCAGCAGCGGGGCAGGGTGACCTCCTGGTTCTGTGGTCTCCCATCAGCAGAGTGACACCACGGAGCTCAGCCAGACCGAACCGAGCTCAGCCGAACCGAACCGAGCTCAGCCGAACCGAACCGAGCTCAGCCTAACCGAACCGAGCCCAGCCGAACCGAACCGAGCTCAGCAGAACCGAACCGAGCTCAGCAGGGCCGAACAGAGCTCAGCCGGACAGAACCGAGCTCAGCAGAACCGAACCGAGCTCAGCCGAACCGAACCGAGCTCAGCCGAACCGAGCTCAGCAGGACCGAACCGAGCCCAGCCGAACTGAACCGAGCTCAGCAGGGCCGAACCGAGCTCAGCAGGACCTAACCGAGCCCAGCCGAACCGAACCGAGCCCAGCCGA